CTAGTTTGGTCTTCCAGTGTAGTTTCTTTCACTCAGTATAATGCCTTTGATTTTCATCCATATCATTGTGTATATAATAGATTTTTTTTTATTGCTGAGTAGTGTTCCTTGGTATGGATGTATCACAGTTTGTTTAACCAGTGTCCCATTGAAGGACATCTTGGTTGTTTCCATTTTGGGGCAGTTGTGAATAAAGCTGCTATAAGCATTTGCAAATAGATTGTTTTGTGAACTTACGTTTCCATTTCTTTTGGATAAGTAAGAGTGGGATTGTTGGGTCATACACTTAAGCGTATGTTCAGCTTTATAAGAAACTGCCAAGCTGTTTTCCAAAGTGGCCAAACAATTTTGCATTCCTGCCAGCAGTACATGAGAGTTCCAGTTGCTCTGCATTCTTATCAGCTCTTAGTATTGCGATTAAAAAAAAAAAAGTTAGCCATTCTGATAGATATGTAGTGGTATCTTATTGTAGTCTTGATTTATGCTGCCCTGGTGGCTGATGATGTTGAATTTCTTTTCATGTGTTGATCTGCCATCCATGTGTCTTCTTTGGTGAAGTTCCATTTTACTTTTAATTCTTGGATTTCCTCAGGTGCCTCGGTGATGCTTAGCTGTTGGCCAATTTCCTGAAGAGAATGTGGGGAGGAGGGAGTTGAGGGAGAGGGGAGGAAGGAAGAGAGACAGAAAGGTGTGTGTTGGTCAAGGGCTTTGCCCAGTGGTGTTTATTTTTCTCATTAAAGTATTTAGGGGACTTTTCTTAAATTTTAGGTAGACCTTGGAAATAGTAAGCTGGTGTAGTAAGAGCAAGGCCTCTGGAGCCAGATGTCTAGGATCAAAGCACGAGTCTACCTCTTCTTACCTCTGAGGCCTTGGGCAATTAACCTAACTTTTTTGTGCCTCAGTTTCCTCATCAGAAAAATGAAGATAAGAATCTCTACTTCATCGAGTTGTTAGGAGAATTAAATGTGTTAACATCTGTCAAGTACTTAGGACAGTACCTGGCACACAGTAAGCTCTAGATCAGTGTTAACTACTCCTGATGTTGTTACCCTCATCCTCACAGTGACTGTGTATTTTGGTTGAAAAATCAAGGTTGATCTTTGTGTGCTTCCAAGTATGAGAGGCAGTTGTCATTTTTCTCTGCCATGACAGTGGAATGCTTAGGGTGTTTAATGGATAAGGGAGACAGCAGGGCAGTTTGAAATAGATGTCATTCTAGAAAATCTAGCAGACCCCCTGGACATAGGTAGAAAATGTTTTCAGTTTATAAGCTAAAGTATGACTATCAAGAACACCTAATGCTGTTAGTTTAATTAAATTACTTTTATCATTGCTCTTTAGTCTGACCTATTTTTTAGAAAACAGATGACATACTTAATTGCAGTGCTTTTTTTTGAGATCATGACTGATTTGTCCTTGTTTAAAGGAAAAGTCATTTGCTTTAGATTTAAAATTCTGAGCCCTGCTTGGTATAAGCAGGAAAATATCCAACACTTATTGTATCTGAGTCTCATTTCTGACTTGGGCCTTTTTAGGTTGTGGAGATGTTGGAGGTTCCCAATAAACCCACACAGCTGTCCTACAAGTACTACTTCATGTCTGTGAATGCTGCAGATCGTGAAGACAGCCCTGTCATGGCCCTCCTGCTGCAGCAGTTCAAGGAAAACATCCAGGAATCAGTTTATCGTACAAAATCTGGGAAACAGCCTAGATCCGGTACCAAGCGCAAGGTATGACCACAGATAGAAATGAGCACAAGATTCGTGGATATTAACTTTGCTGTGTTCCTTAACCATTTTTAATATGGGAAAGAAGTTAGGTATGGTTTTTAAGAGTCTGGGCAGCTACAAGGTTTAGGTAACAAATGTCTACATTTTCTTGAAGATGCTTCTCAATTAGTAATTATGCACCATTTTCCACAAGGCAGCTTGGTAAATACGTAATATTTACTACTAAATTTCCAGTATTTAGGTTAGTATTTGCTCAGTAAATATTTGTTGACTGAATTAACATCTGTTTTGGTTAACTTTGACTTTTGTTATAGTAGTCCAACTGCCTTAACTAATTACACACATACTTTTTTAACCACTTGTGTTCTTTACTTAAATTCTAGTTCTCTGATGACATGTGTCCAGTTGAACCCAAGAAAACCAAACGATCAGGAGAAATGTGTGCCTTCAATAAAGTTCTAGCTCATTTTGTCGCTATGTGTGATACAAATATGCCATTTGTAGGACTTCGGATGGAGGTAATTTTTTGGAACAATTTTAGGTACTCAAAGAGTAATTTTTTAATTGCCTTGACAAAGCTACATGGATTCCATTGGGAGAACCAGACGGCTGTGATCTTGTTTATTTTGGGAGGGGTGGGGTTGAAATCACAGCATCTCATAGTATACATGTAAAGCATGACTTAAATTATGTCATCTCTCTGATTCCAAACTGTGGTCTTTATGGAAATGGGAAGTAAATTCTTCCCAGTTAATTCTCAAAAGTTGTCCTTTTTTTTTTTAACACCTTACTTATGTACCTCTTAGTAGGAGCATTATTTAACACTTTTAGAGTTGGTCAGTTGATAAAGCGGCGATTCGTTTTTCAGTGGGTGAAGCCGAACATATTGCTTATATACTAATGAAATTGGGTTCCTTTCTGAGAAGCAGGTCAGAAAGAATGTTAAATTTTGCTTTATTCCCATGGAAGAACCAGTAGACTTATGCAGAACGAATATCATTTAGGAATACACAGTTGTGATAATCTAGCATGATCCCCAAGCGAGAAAGTAAAGGGAGGTAACAGAACCTGTGTTTTTGTATTTCCAAAAAGGGCTTTGGCCAAGGATTGTCAACCCTTAAAAGTAATGATTTCCCTGTAGTTTAGAGTTATACTTTTTGTAAGACTCCTCCCTTCTGTAAGTTATTGGGAGTGAAAAAGAGACGTGGAAACGTGGACATGGATTATTTCAGTTGAGCTTGGGAAGACTTGTTGAAAATACTTTGATGCTTTAGAACAGGGATCAGCAAACATTTTCTGTAAAGGGCCAGATGGTAAATATTTTAGGCCTTGTGGGTCATATAGGCTCTTATTATAGCTGTTCAGATCTGCTGTTGCAATGTGAACCAGCCATAGTTGATATTTAAACAAATGAATGTGGCTATGTTCCAATAAAACTGTATTTACCAAAACCGGCAATGGCTGAATTTGGCCCATGAGCTGTTGTATGCCAATCCCTGCCTTATAGGGCTTTGGGATCCGGAGGCGGAGGTTAAAGTATGAAATTGTGAGGTGCAACAGCAGCCCAGAAAACCAAGCCCAGAAATAGGCACCTAAAATGGATACTCATGTCCTCAATGTCCTAGCTCCTAGAACTGTGAGCTTGATGGATGACCTCTTGTCTGGGAACTGGCCGTAGCTCCTAAACTGTACAGTGCCCCTGCTTCCTATCCACTTGAGTGTGTTCTTGGGCTTTTCCATCGTGCCATGTAGGTTGATTATGTAAATGCCATTCAGTGATTCCCATGCAGTAGGAAGGGAGGCTGCATGATACCCAGTGACAGTGTAATGCCTTGTTCATTGTCTGCTCTCTTCCCCGCTACCCACAGGCTAGAAATCATAAAAACTTGTGTCTTTGTAGTGCCCACATAGACGCCCATAGACATATGGCCTCTCTGCCCTTCTGCCCGCTTCTCTGTTCCTGTGCACACAGGAGTGCACACATAGGCCATGTTACAGTCAACTCCACTGAACTCAGTCAAGCTCTTAAGAACTTACTTTTTCTCCCCTCAATGAAAAAGACATTTTCTGACTTAAGGTAGTTTATACTGAGATGTGAGTAACTAAACTAAATCTAATCTCACCAGGAATGTTTATGTTTCTGATCCATAGAACAGAGGCATGTTTTTGAGCCCTCCCACACTTTGCTTCCTTTGGAATCTGAACTCCGACTGCCTATTTGGTCAGCAGCTATTTTTCTAAACCGCTGCTTTTCCCAGGTCCAAAGAGCAAGATTCAGTCAAATACTTAGGGCTGCCTTAAATCCTTTCTGGAACAAGGTGGATATAAATAGTCTGTCAGAGAAGACCTGGGAATATCTGCTGAAGGCAGTCGTTTCTTTGCTAGATCAGATGACTTTTGGGCACACCTACATAACCTATAGTTGAACTGACAGAGTCTCAGGCACCATCCTTTTTAACTCATTTTCTGAATCCTCTAATTGGGAGAGATATCTCACTGGGTGAATGCATAAATTGGAAATCTTTTCTTCTTGGATTTCACAGAGGAAATAGTTTGTTAAAAATAAAAATGTATTCCAGAGAAATTATAAACTGAAAAATATTGTTTGTAATTAAAAAATGAGATGTGGCTATGCCTCAAACTTTGTTTTGCACAAACATAATTGAATCACACAAGAAAACCAGTATTATTTTACAGTTGTATCGTTTGGAACCACCAGAATTGATTCTGGATTACTTTTGGCTTGCTGCAAAAATTAGATCTAATAATCTCCTGAATTTTGAAGATTTGCCACCTATGGAGGTGTTTTTTTCTTCTTTTCATTTTATTGAAGGTGTTTTTTTAACTAGAAGCTCTAGGTCGTCTGAATTTCACTGGACTTTATATAGTTTCCCAGGAAATCAAATGATGGGGGACAGTGCTCATGCCTAATATGTTGTCACTCTGGGACAGAGTGACCCTAGAGCAGATTCCTCGAGAATAGAGATAGTAGTATTGAGAAAAGGTAGTTTCCTTTGTAAAGCTGGTGGTCTGATACAACTGTGCTTTTCTCTTTCCAGTTGTCCAATCTGGAGATTCCACATCAAGGAGTACAAATGGAAGGTGATGGCTTTAGCCACGCAATTCGCTTATTGAAGTAAGTCCCTGTCATGTGTCTCATTTGGTACCATACGCTGCAGCCACACTGTAGTGCTGCTCCTCTCCTTCTGTGAGTCAGTATAAGGCAGAGTTCAGAACCTATGGATGTCACAGATTTCTGCATAGAATTACTACTGTCTGTGGGAGGATTCTCTCTCACCTGCCGGATGGAGCTCCAGCACCACTTGGTATTTTAGGATGTCTTTCTTCTGGCTTTCTTTCATTCATTCAACAGATGTTTACTGAGTGTGAATATGTGTACGGCTTGAATTCTGATAGGGCCCTTCAGGATGCTGTGGGTTCACATTGCAGGGGGATCTGGGCTAGTTTGAAAGTCAGGAGTGGTATCCCCAGGGAAATACTAGTTGTACATAAGCCAAAGTAGAGGTGAGAATTACCAAGCAGAGGAAAGGGAGCTAGGGTGGGAGTGGGTGCCCCTAACTGGAAGGGATAACTGCTAAAAGGAAGGTTTAGAGGTAAGAGAAACCTCAGCATCCTGGCACTAAAAGCATTTGGGTATGGCTGGAGTTGGGAGAGATGAGCCTGGAGATGTAGCAGGACTGGGTCAGATCCTGTAGGACTTTTATAAGCGTCCTTAAGGAATCTAGACTTTATCCTAATGGCAGTAAGAAGCCCTCAGATGATTATAAGCAGAAACTGACACCATTAGATAGGTGTTTTTGAAAATTCATGGATAGCAGTGTGGAGAATAAATTGGAGGGGAACAAGACTGAAGCAGCAAAACCAGTTGCTGAAATGGTTCACATCAGAGTTGTTGGTAGCATGGACCAGGGAAGGTTCCATAAGGACTTAGGGGATGAAGTCTGCAAGGGTTGGTAATTAGATTGATATTAAAGATGAGAAAAAAGAGAAGGCGGCAAAGATGACTTAGTTTTATCTTGGGCAAGTGATGGATGATTGTGGTGTTTGCTGAAATAAGTGACTGAAGATGTGAGTCGGAAGGGGCTTTGCCAAGTTTGAGGTGCCTAGGCATCCCTTTGGGCAGGCAGGGATGTGTCTCAAGTTCAGATGACAGGTCTGGACAGGAGAAGTTGATGAGTCATTACCAAGGTAAAAGTAATTGAGCTGGGATAGTAACTTAGATCACCAGGAAAGAGTACACAGAGGGAGATGAGCAGAGGGCTTGGTTCTGAAAGGGTAGAGGACAGGGGGCCAAAGGATGCTTAGTGGGAAAACTAACGCAGTGTATGTGCTTTATAAGGTGACCAGGATGGACTTGCAAAGCTAGAATGCCATTTAAGAGATCAACCTTTTTGGTGCAGAAAGCAGTTTCCTTCCTT